TTTCCTGGCCCCTCACCACCGTATCAAGCATGAGAGTGGAAACCCTTCCACCTTGATCCCTCTCTTTTCTGATTTGTATGAATATGGCCACAAGGAAGTCCCTTCAGGATGGGATGAAGCAAAAGGATTCTCCCCTATCTCAGTATTTTGCTTAAAAATTGTCAAATATTTTCACCTTTTAGCTAACCTAACCATTAGTTTCTCTTTATTCTCCTCTTTATGGCACATTTCATATGGCCAGGTACTGTGTTCATAAATTTACATATATGTTTCCATTTAATCCCTGTAACAAGCCTGAGACCAATGCTATACTTAAGTCACTTTTTATAGATGTAGAAAACTAATGGCCAGAGAGCTTAAGTAATTCCCTTCTATTTTTGTCACATCTGCATTGAGATCTTACTTCAGACCATAAGTTCTTTCCTCCAGGATGCTGACTGAGGCTATTAAAAATACCTACAGCCTGGCCAGTGTGGCTCAGCGCAGTTGAGCATCTACACAGGAACCAAGAGGTCACTGGTTTGATTCCCAGTCAGGGCACATGCCCAGGTTGCAGGCTCCATCTTCACTTGGGGGCATGCAGGAGGCAGCCGATAGATGTTTCATTCTCATAGATGTTTCTACCTATCTCTCTCCCTTCCTCTTCCCCTCTCTCTAAAAATCAATAAAGGGGAAACATTTTAAAAACAAAACCCCTACATAAATCACTCCCCACAAGGTCCCCACCCCTCCATGACCCACATACTGGTTAGCCCTGGATGGAAGAAGCTTATTCAGGGAGTCAAGACAGTTTCCCAAAGCCCGTTAGTTATATCTATGCAACAGGCACAGCATTAGTTCCCTTTCAGATTCCCTCCTTGCCCTTCAGCATTACAGTTCTCTGGTTCAAGGGCCATGGTGGAGCTGCATGAGAGAAGTGGAACAAACATGATTAATTGCCTCCTGTGTACATGATCTGGTGCTGATAAGTATGATCTCATACACTCTCAATCATCCTGCAGTTCCAGCATGAGTAAGTGCACAGGTCCTCACAGGTATGGAGGGCTGTAAACTGAGACTTACACTTAAGCGCAAAGCCAACCTGGAACTGCTCTCCATAGAGGGAGCCAAAAGAGGAGATACTCCTCTTCCCTGGGGCTATGGGTAATGACAGGCACAGCTCTGCCAAAACAGGCAGTGCTAGAGCTTTTCCCTCAAACTGCTACGTGTGATCCAGGGATTCTCTCTGCAACTGTTAAGTTATAGAGTAGGGAAGATAGACACAAAAGAGAGAATCTAAATGGCCAAGGAAATGGGGATAAAAGTGTTGTATCTCATTAAAATACAAAATTAAAACGTTGGTAAGGCCGAAACCGGTTTGGCTCAGTGGTAGAGCGTCTGTCTGGGGACTGTAAGGTCCCGGGTTCGATTCCGGTCAAGGGCATGTACCTTGGTTGCGGGCATATCCTCAATAGGGGGTGTGCAAGAGGCAGCTGATCGATGACTCTCTCTCATCGATGTTTCTAACTCTCTCTATCCCTCTCCCTTCCTCTCTGTAAAAAAATCAATAAAATATATTTTTTTAAAAACAAAAAAAACGTTGGTAAGTCTTTCACTTACTGATTTCCTGCTTTTTAAATCTAATATCTAGCACTGGCAGGGGAGGGTCCTCTCTCACAGAGCTGCTGGAAGTATAAACCACTGCAATAAGATTGCACACTCTAAGTAATCATTTATGATATCAATGAATTAGAAAAAAACCAAGGCCCCAATGAAAGATGTGGCTCTACAAAAAGGTTCTACAAAAAGTAACCTCGCAGGGCAATGGGATTGTAAATTCCTAATCAGGCAGGTCAAGGTGGGTAGCCATGTCCCAGACATATAACTTCTTCAGCTTTGCTGGGTAGAGTAACCTTGGTTGTGGGTCCTTGCTTTGCATCACTTTGAATATTTCTTACCACTACCTTTTGGCCTGCAAAGTTTCTATTAGAAATCAGCTGCCAGTCATATGGGCACTCTCTTGTAGGTAACCTGCTTTTCTCTTGCTTTTAAGATTCTCTCTTTGTCTTTAACCTTTGGCATTTTAATTATTACGTGTTGGAGTGGGCCTTGGTTGAGACTCTGTACTTCCTGGACTTGTAAGTCTATTTATTTCACCAGGTGGGGAAGTTTTCTGTCATTATTTTTTCAAATAGGTTTTCAATTTCTTGCTCCCTCCTTTCTCCTAACAGTACCCCCATGATGGGAATGTTGGGGAAGTTGTCCCAGAGGCTCCTTACACTATCTTCATGTTGTTTGATTCTTTTTCCTTTTTGCTATTCTAATTGGGTGGAGGGTTTTTTGGGGTTTTTTTTGCTTCCTCATATTCCAAATGGCTGATTTGATCCTCAGTGTCCTCTACTGCTTGATGATTCCTTGTAAATTATTCACTTCAATTAGTGTATGCTTCATTTCTGACTGATCCTTTTTTATGTCGTTGATGTTCTAAGTTCTGTAAGGTTCTCATTAAATTCCTTGAAGTTATTATTAAGTTCCTTGAAACTAAACTTAAGTTCCTTATAACCATTGTTTTAGTTCTTTTTCTGGAGATTTCTTAAGTTCTTTCACTTGTGACATGTTTGTCTCTGCATTTTGGCTGCTTCCCTGTTTGTTCTGTGTATTAGGCAGAGCTGCTATGTCCCCTGGATTGGCAGAGTGGCCTGTGTAGTAGGTGTCCTGTAGGGCCCAGGCTCAGCCTCCCCAGTCACCTGAGCTGGTGACTCTAGATGCATCTGTTTGTGTGCATTGTCCTCTTGTAGTTGAACCTTGATTACTCTTGGCATCACTGGGAGGGATTTACTCCAACCCAATAGGCAAAGGATCCCTCTCTTCAACTATAGCAAAAGAGCTGCTGTACTCTGATGGAGCAGGAGTTGCTTCAGTGGGGTTTTGGTGCACACTGAGTCCACCTCTTAAGGGTGTCACTCACGATGTGATAGGGCTGTAATCTGGCCTGGTCTGAAACTGACCACCAGGTGCCCTAGCTCTGGTGACTCCATGAGGTAAAAGTCAGCTACTGCCTGTGCCTTGCCTGGGGCTATCCAGCATAAGCTAGAGCAGTGATCGGCAAACTGGCTCTTGAGTTTGACGCTCTGTTGACTAATGAGTTTGCCGACCACTGGGATAGGGGCTTAATCACAAGGAACAACAACAGCCTATAATTATTGGAATCGAGAGTCTAGGTCAGTGGTAGGCAAACTCATTAGTCAACAGAGTGGCAAATCGCGGCTCCTGAGTTTGCCAACCACTGAGCTAGAGTGATCTGCAGGAGGCTGCTACTTGTGTTGGGCTTGTTGGCGCCTAGGAGAGGCCAAGCTGTGGACTTTGGCAATCTGCTGCTAGTACCAAGCCTGGGACCACTTATCAAGAGGTATGGGGCACACTGAGGCCAGCTGCTGCTTGTTTGAGAGATTTCAGAGAAGTCTGAAGCCTGAACTAGGATTGGCCTTTCATATGGAAAAGCCACTGCAAACAGATTGGGTGGAGCTGTAAACTGGGTGGGGCAGGGCCTCAGAATCAAAAGGGCAGGGCGAACAGTGTGGGCTAGGTTAATGGAGACTCAGATATGGCGCCTGTTAGCTCTATGGTGGAGAGGTCTCAGCAAAGGAATGGCTTCTTGCAGCATTTTTGTCTGGGAGAAAACTACCCTCCAGTTCCTGTACTGATGCCAGACAATTTAGTTCCTCCCTGTATGTACCTGGACCCTTTCAAGCTGCTGGAGTGCTGGAGCTCAGAGGAAGTGAGTCTGAGTAAGTCCATGTATGGGCCCTTTAAGAGGAACTGCCTAGGAATTTTAGCATCTCTTCGTGTCAATCAGCCACAATCCCCACTGGTTTTTACAGCCTTAAGTTATGGGAACTTCTCTTCCCAGCACTGGAACCCTGAACTGAGGGGTTTGGTGGCTGAGGTGGGTAGGAGGGGAGTTTGAATCCTTTGCTCCTCACAGGGGCCCCTGTAGCAAAAATATCCTTCCCAATTACAACCACCACACATAGGTGTCAAACCAGCCTGTCCTGTGCCTCTGCCCCTCCTACCAGACTCATTGTGGCTTCTTCTTTAATTCTTAGTTGTAAGGTTTCAATTTAACCACCTGAATGATGGTTTTTCTGTAATTTAGTTGTAATTCTGCTGTGGTTATGTAAGGAGGTGAGTACTGTGTTTACCTACTCCACCATCTTGACCTTTCAAGAGTGGTTTTCTTTTTTTAAATATATTTTTATTGATTTTAGAGAGAAAGAGAGATGGAAACATCGATGATGAGCGAGAATCATTGATCAGCTGCCTCCTGCACGCCCCCAACAGGGGATCGAGCTTGCGACACTGGCATGTGCCCTTGACAGGAATCAAATCCGGGACCCCTCAGTCCGCAGGCTGACGCTCCATCCGCTGAAGCGAAACAGCCAGGGCAAGTGGTTTTGCTTTTGAAACCAACACTTTAGGTAACTTTCTACACATCAAATCATAATCCTACATCTGGAAAACACTAGCAGCGAATATAATGATGAAGATCATCAGTATCACCTGTCCAGTAAAACTACCTCTATCTTGGACGCTGCTGCCATAGTGCAAAGCATGACCATTTGGGTTCATTAGGTCATTCATTCAATCTCCCACGTGAATTACAATACAAGTCTGATGTTGGGTTATAAGCGATTTCAAAAGAACACAATTTTGGAGATAAACTTAAGCCTTTCGACATCCTCCCATGTTGAGTAAGCACTGGGCCAGCTTTACTACATTCACCACAACACATGCTTCCTTCCTGGAGTTAATCTCACCAGGTGAGCTCTCGGCAGAGAACAGGGCCAAAACCATGGGCAGCCAACAGGGCTCCTGAAGACTGGCTCACGTGAGAAGCATTTGGCTTTCAAGAGCCTTAGCCCTCACTGCAAACATGAGTATTAACGCTAATCCTATGTTGACTCAATACAGAAACTACGTTAGAGCGATCCAAGAAGAGAGGAGGCGGGGCCTGCCGTTACCGGGAGGGTGAAGAAAGCAGGGTGCTTTGCTTCGTCTTCGTATTTGCCTTCCGATGAGCTCCCAGCCTCCATGGATTTGGATGTAGTGTTTTTACCAATACCCATCATTAAGAGAAAGCGGCTGGTTTGGCTGCTGGGCTGCACTGGCTGGAAGAGAAGGCTTGTTCAAGCAGCGATCCCAGGCTCAGAGTTGGCTTTTCTGGCGGCTAGTGCACCAGATTCTCAGGCAGAGATGAACCCCACTAGCACCATCTCTCAGCACCTAGAAGAGAGAGAGCAGCCAAGTCACCACAAGCACAGAAACAACACAAGACACATGGTCATCGCATTTTCCTTCAGAAAAGTCAAGTACAAGTTATGCCCAAACATCCAAAAACGTATTACTTTCTTACACTTTTCAAGTCCCCCACTCCTCTGCATTTACAGTCATTCACTGATTCTAAATATCCCCTGGAGAGGGGATCATATCTCATTAAAAATGTCAGAATACTGGGGACTAAGAAATCGGTATTTTTTTGACGTGTATCATGGTCTATGTTTTACAGCCCAGTATTATCCAACAGAACCTTTTGCAACGATGGAAATGTTCTACATCTGCCTTGTCACTTCCCACAAGGCGACTGAGCACATGAGATGTGACAAGTGTAAGAGAAAAAATGGAATCTTTAATTGTATCTCATTTTAGTTCTGATTTAAATAGCCACTTCTGGCTAATGGCAACCATACTACACCATGCAGTTATAGCCAGTTTACTATGACTGGCTGGATATTAAAATTCTAAATTCCCTACAGGTGTCCAATTAAAGGCAGTGAAAGGCACTCAACACACTTTAAAAAAAAAAAAAAAAAGAGGGGATAAAACCAATCTAGGATCAAGTGACCACACAGAATTCCAGATAAGTGGCAAGATGAACTTTAAATGGGATAGAATACCACACAAAACATAGAACCAAAACATTCAATATCTATTAAATATAAACAACATAAACATAAAGAAGAAATCCAACAGCCTCCCCCACAATGGAGGGGAGGTAAAATAGTGAGAGATTAAGGGACAGGGGGGCGGAGGGAGGATATCCACACTACTAGGCCCAAGACGAACCTAATACGCTTTAAGAGCCTCAGAGAAGCTGTTTTAACAAGGAAAAGTGCAACGTTGCCGGCTAACAGGAAATCTAACCGAAAGTCAAAAGCAAGAAATTACTGAAAGAATCCTGTGCAGCCAAGTGTTGGTGAAGAAGAAAATAAAAACCTCAATTCCAAACAACAGGAGTATAATTTGGAGAATACAAGATCCACCCAACAGCTTCAAAAATAAAAGGCACAAAGGATCCCTCCTTTCGAGGGCTGGCAGATGTAAAATAAAACATGCCCAGGTATGCCTACACTTTAATGGGGGGAACAGGAGCACAAGCAGGCTCCTAGGGGTGAGAAGGACAGAGAGCACATTCACTGGCACTCTGATTGGAATGATGTCAGGTCTTAGCACCAATTAATTTCCCGCTGAGAATGAATAAACCTGGCCAAGCTGTCCAGAGAATGTGGAGTCACACCTATAAGACGTTCAGAAATACAAGTAGGAAGCCTCCTGTTCAAGGAATTCTGTTAAGGGCACTTTTCATTCAATGAATACTTTGGGTAAGCCAGGAAATTTTGAAATATAAACAAAAAAAGAGGAAGATTTATACAGAATTCAAGAGTCAAAATAGTTGCCAGGACATTAAGCAATAGAGGAGCTGGGTACACACATCTTTTTCCTTTTTTCCTGAGGTGGCTCTTTTGGTTTAAATGTTCATGCACATTTTGCATTCTCGTTCATATCACGTCTGTTTAAAGAACCATATCAGTGGCTCCCAACCAGGGGTGATCTCTCCCTCTGAAGACATCTGGCAACAGCGAGACATTTTTTTGGTCATCACACCTGGGGGAGAATGACTTGTGTCTAACAAGTAGTGGCCAGAAGTGTTGCTAAACATCCTACAATTCATAGGAAAGAGCCCACAGTAAAGAATATCTGGCCCGCTTTGGCTCAGTGGATAGAGCATCGGTCTGTGGACTGAAAGGTCCCAGGTTCGATTCCGGTCAAGAGCATGTACATTGGCTGCAGGCACATCCCCAGTGTGTGCAGGAGGCAGCTGGTAGATGTTTCTCTCTCATTGATGTTTCTAGCTTTCTATCTCTCTCCCTTCCTCTCTGTAAAAAAAATCAATAAAATATATATATTAAAAAAAAATTATCTGGCCCAAAACATCAACAGTGCTAAGAAAGAAACCCTGGCTGAAAGATATTTCCCTCCCGGCCATTCCAATAATGGCTGCTTCCTGGAACCTTATGGCCTAAGCATTCAGAGCTCCAAAAAGGGAGCATGCCAAATCAGACAGGATTACACAGAGATCATTTGTTTGAAACCTTCAGTGCTCAAGCTCTAGCCACCTCAAGGCCCCAACATCACGGCCCCAGTCTCTATACAATGGTTCTCAGTCCTCGTTGCACTGCGTTTGGCGCTGCCCGTGGTTGAAGCAGAAGCCGAGATGCCGTCGCTCATTAGGTCTGGCTGTCGGCCTTACAGGCACCTGTGTCTGTCTGGGGCACGTGCAAAGGAGGGGAAAGGACAGGTGTGACACTGAAGGGCCTCCTGAATCACAGCCTGCCCTGGATGCATGTGTGCTACTGAGGTTAAAAACTGAGCTTTGTGTCTGAAAGTTCCCAAGAAGCAGTAAATAGGGTAATTTTACACTCATAGTTGTTTTCCTTTAAATGGGAATAAACTGGTAAGTGTTAAATAAATAAAAAAATGGTGTTTTTTCAAAACAGATAATGCACTGAATATGCAGAATATAATTTACATCTGCTAGTTAGAGAGAAGGTCAGAGAAGTAAGATGGCTGGAATTTGCATAAATAATATTTCAGAGCACCAAAATTCGCAAAGCACACGAAGAAGGAAGCTCTTACCCGGAATCCTAGGAGGTCACCACTGTTCAGTGGCAGTCACTTGCCTTCTGCATCGGTGAGGAATCTTTCCTCCATATTTTTATTAGATTTCTGTTTTGTTATCCCCAAAATTAATACTATACTTAGATATGAAATACAGCCCATCAAAACTTGAAACTTTAATTTATTTGGGGGAGGGAGGAAAGGTTTTAAAAAGTATGTTCAATGTACCTAATACTGAAATGGAGAAAAGATTTAATGTAAGAGAGCAGATTTTAGAGGATGGCCTGCTGCTCTCCCATAATGCTGGAATTATCAGAATAAATGCTCATATGAGTTAAAAATAATAAGATTTAACATAAAAAGAACACTTTGTGTTGACCCTAAAATGGAGAAGAGGTTTAATGTTTTTTTAAAAAAGCCTTATTAACTGAGTAATACACCCACAGAGAGAAGTACTATATTAAAGATAAACCCATTATGTTGTGTATATATACTTTTAAAAAGATATTTCCCTCTTCCAAAAATGGCATCCCAAAGGTGTCATGTGGGTCCTTCGCACAAGATCACGTCCCCCGAGGGAGACGTGTGCCAGTTTGGGAGGCAGGGACATGCCTATCACCAAACAGAGCAAAGCCCATAATGGAATAAGCCTATGGGACTTGCTGGGGTTTAGTGACTTTTTAAATAACTTTCCTTTTTCAAGAACAGGGACAAGTGGATTATTATATTTCTTCCTCATCTTTTCTGCTATCTGTAGGGGATATGAAGACCCACTTTATTGCACTTTCCAATGCATAAAAGTGGGGGCTTTCTGTATTCAAAGGGGAAGTTACAAACATCATTTAGAAAACCCTAAAGGCTCTACTGATGGCCCTGACAGAGACTGTGTGTTTACCTAGAATTAATCTTTTTCCTTCATTTTAATTAAAGTGTTCTGCAACAATTCAAAAAATAACAAACAATCTACATCTGATCTAGCCGCTGCCACCCATAACCTCCCCAGATCTTGCGGGGAGAGGAGAGATATAACATGACAATGAACATTCCTAAGAAGAGCTGCCTGAAGTAGTTCCAGGGACCTTTACCTTGACAGCCAGCAGCTTGTTTTCCAAAAGATATGACAGGCAGAGATGATGGTGAAATACTGCTAGATTTTCACAAGACCACATGCCACACAGTCATATTCAGAGACGCCCACAAGCTCCCAACCCTGCCAGAAGAGCTTTCCAATCCATGAGGACCCATGTTAACTTCAGGGGAAATTATGAACTTTTTTAAAATAAAACTGGTTTGAGAGAGGAAGAGAAAGAGAGGCAAACATCAGCCCGTTGTTCCACTCATTTATGCATTCACTGGCTGTTTCTTATATGTGCCCTGACTAGGGATTGAACCCACAACCCTGGTGTATCGGAACGACACTCTAACCAACTGAGCTACCCGGCCACAGCAAAAGGATGGGCTTTTCAACGTAGAAGACATTTACTCTCCCAGGTGAACTGGGTCTGCATGTCTGTGTCAGACATGGACATTCACCCTCCGCACTGTCCCCAGCATCAGGCACACAGGGGACAAGTTCCATCCTGACAAGACCCCTTTCCACCAAGCAGCCTGTACATTTTTCCGTACCAGGCATTTAACTGACTCTCACAAGCTGCACTGGGAGGACCCACCCCCTCCTTCTGCCTGTCTCTTACACAGCAGCATCCTTCAGTGTCCGGAAAACTCAAATGAGCATAAGAGGGGAGGGGGCCCAACAAAGGGCAGGGCAGGATGTCTGAGAAGTGCCTGGGGCAAAGGACTGCAAAGCCTGGGCAAGACGGGCATCCTAGTCAGGCAAATGGAGGGAAGAGGAGAAGACAGTGAAAGCGGAACAAAGAAACGCATCCTTGGAAGTCCTAATGTGACAGCATTCCACAGCCAAGTACTCGGGAGTGAGGAAGTGAAGACGGCCTCAAGGGCAGAAACAGATCACTAGCCAGAGATCAGAGTGTTCCAACCTCGCAGACTCAGCTCTGGTGTGGGGCAATGCCAAGGCTCGGAGGCAAGCTCAGCAAAAGATAAGGAAGGAGGAGGGTGGAAATTCAATGTGTTAAAATTTTTGTGAAAACAAAAGGCAAAATCCCCCAGGGTATCTGACGCAGGGGGCAGCCCACTCACAGTCCCCCATCACCCC